AAAAAAAAAAAAATTGTACCCTGCGAATACAATCGCCGTCCATGCATCATTGATCGTTAAACAAGACTTCGTTCAAGCCATTCTCCCCATGTAAACGTCAGAGGGCTGTATTCCCTGTCTCCGAGTGCCCACATCGTTTAGGATTACCCACAAACTTTCTAAATTCAAAAGAATGATTTAAGCGAACTTTATTACAAAGTGCGGCAGCTTGATTTATTACAAAGTTCGGCAGTCTCTTATTACAAAATGCGACAGCTTTTTTACTACAAAGTGCGACTAGTGTTATTACAAAGTGTGACAGGTATCAAAAAGTGCGACAATTTTATTACAAAATTGCGATAGGTATTATTGTTATTATTAGTGTGGCGATTATTACAAAGTGCGACAGAACAGGAGCTTAGTCAGGGCAATGTAAATGCGTGTAATTCAATTTTATGGTGATATAAACTAAGATAAAAGGGTAACAAAAATGTCAGTGGTCCTTTAAGGCAAATCGAACTATCCACGACCAACCACTGTTTGCATCTTTAGTGTACCTGCCAGCAATATAGTACAAAGGAATAAAAAGCGACTAAACAACTGGGAATTTTGTCCCCAAGAGGGAGCTTTCCAAGTATTCCTTCGCAGCAGATTGTCGCTATGCGGAATGCAATTCCCGATGAGCAGAAAAAGCAGATTTCCAACGGTAACACCGCCTTGCAAACTCTTATCGTACGGAGTCTTACTGATTGGTCCCATAGCCCGATGGAAAATAATGCGAGGAATGCCGAAGCGCAAGTGGTACTGCAATCTCTGCCTGCTGGAGCAACCGAGAATGAGTGGTTTCATTCTCTAGACGCATTGGAACTTCACTCAGCTCTCGTGCGAACAGGACAAAACGAGGTTTCCGCAGAATCAGGAACGATGGAGGCGTTCAGTTTGATGCTGAAGGCTCCCCTGACAATTTACCTCCCAGGATACACCGAACTGTACCCTCAGGCAGTACAACTCGGGCCCGATAACGAGGAGTATCTTGTCGGAATCTACGACGGCCCTCATTTCTTCCTTGCTGTACCGAGGAGGTGGATTAAAGACCAGCAGGAGCAACACAAAGGTATGTTCTGGATGCTTTCAAACTTAATGTCTCTTATTATAACACCGGAGGACAAGTTTTTCACCGTAGGACAAATTTTTCAAAATTCTCTCAAATCCCGTTTAAACTCTCCAGGATGAGAAAAAGTGACACCATTGAATGTTCTAGAGTCTTTATTCGGTAAATTTCCCATACATTGAACGAATTTAACGTTAACTCCTGATCTCCATACAAACTTTTATATTTTAGCCACAGCTCTCCATGCAAACTCTTATATAACGCTTGGGTGACCTGTGGTAATTATTAAACTAATAAAAGAAAAAGTAATTAGCAGTAACAACAACAACAACAACAACAATAATAATAATATACCTTTTATATAGTCGATAAAAGTGCCGTTTTTTGTCACTGACTTGTATATTTTAGCAAGACGTTTCGGCTAACTCTTACGCCTTCATCAGTTGAAAAAACCGCTTGATGTTACGCGTGATTTAAAAACTTTTTTAAATTGAAACGTTGCGCGTGCTGTATGAGCGTGACTCGAGAGAATTTTAAATGCGTGCTAAGCACTTTTAGAGTATCACCTAACTAGCGGACTAACGAAAATCCTGCATTTTAATTTTAAATGCGTGCTAAGCACTTTTAGAGTATCACCTAACTAGTGGACTAACGAAAATCCTGCATTTCAATTCTCTACGCTACCAGAGGACTCGTGGGCTTCGCCTTATGGGCTATTGACCCGTAGCCCTTGCGGGCAACGGGTCTTATTGTTAAGTAGACTTCTGGGATGACCATGTGATCATTCCCAGCGTTCGGGTCTTTTACAGACATCTAGGCTTCTAGAAAAAGCCGCTGATGGTAATGTGCCTCATGTCCGACGACTTCAACGTCTTCAAAATCCATGTCATGATGATATTCGTGAACACGGCAAGCAAGTTTGGAGCTATGATCGAACATCAAGAGAGCCTTTTTGTGGTCGGAAACCCGAGCATATCTCTTATATCTCTGTTTGTTTTGTCGCTCCATGTTTGTGCCTCCGCTACTTCAATTAGAATGGAAGTTGAGCGCCGTAAATTAATACGGTAATAACACTGTAAAAATAAATTTTAAATTAAAGGGAACTAACGTTTATATCTTGTTTTGACAGAAAAAAAAACAGATCAGGGGAGTGGGTACTAAGAAAGCCATTAAAAAGAGCAGGGAAATCAAACAAAAAAACAATTGGTAAGTGCCAAGATCAACTCTCTCGACAAAACCTTAGGAAGCCTATTTACAACAATGGCACAGTTATTTCTTGGTAGTTTATGATTATAAAAGTGGCAATGATTATATATTATTACCCTCAGTTTAGGAAGTGGACCCTTTCCCAGATAGCCACCGACGCACCAAAGACAGCGAATATGAACCCTCAAACACCGACGGTAAGTCACTAAGGAAGTATAATTGTTATTTATACATTTAAAAGTTATCGAGAGAGAGGGAGGACATAAACATGGCCATATAGTTACTTCGTCAAGCTTATACAAAGTAGAAATTAGTTTAATACTGTCAGGAAGGGATTGAAATATTGCAATTTTTCTCAGAGGCTGGAAGATCTTTAAAAGAACTAGTGCTAGTGATTTAACTCTTGTCATAACCTTACGTATCCCTGTTGCCGAATTTCCAAAGAAGTATTTTTTTTTTTTGGTGACTCCATCACGACGGCTTAGAAACTAAGGTGTTATTATAGACTCGGACATGGAAAACTTTACGTATTATTACCTGAAAGTTCTTACTTAATATGTTCCTTACTGTCTGACACGGTAATGGTTGACATGATTCAATCTTCTAGTGAAGTGCAACATGTGACTGTACCTAGTCATGGCTTCTACTATCTTGACACTACTCAGGAAAATACTACTTTTAATTCCATATTCATATATAGAGTTAAAAGTAGTATTTTCCCGACTATATATATAGGAAGAAGCTTACACACAACCAACCTGCCAGATGAAGTACTACAGGAAGTGTTTGAATATGTACGGTTCAATGGCGGAGATACAGCCATTGCAACTCTCAGTTTGATATGCAGCGGCTGGAGGGCACTTGTGGGAGATGATATTTTTCGCCGCCGTGCGCATTTTAGATGGCTTTCAACAGTTCATGATTGGGAGAAGGCCTCCCCTGAATTTAGCGAACAATATTATCTTATGTATGACATATATGAGTGCTTAGGTTGCCAACGAGAATCCATAAACACAAGCAAGAATCCGACGTTTACTAGTTAGAAGGCTCCGTTCTCGACTCGGGCAATNCTCTTGTCATAACCTTACGTATCCCTGTTGCCGAATTTCCAAAGAAGTATTTTTTTTTTTTGGTGACTCCGTCACGACGGGTTAGAAACTAAGGTGTTATTATAGACTCGGACATGGAAAACATTACGTATTATTACCTGAAAGTTCTTACTTAATATGTTCCTTACTGTCTGACACGGTAATGGTTGACATGATTCAATCTTCTAGTTTAAGTGCAACATGTGGCTGTACCTGGTCATGGCTTCTACTATCTTAACCGACACTACTCAGGAAAATACTACTTTTAATTCCATATTCATATATAGAATTAAAAGTAGTCTTTTCCTGACTATATATGTAGGAAGAAGCTTACACATACCCAACCTGCCAGATGAAGTACTACAGGAAGTGTTTAAATATGTACGGTTCAGTGGCGGAGATGCAGCCATTGCAACTCTCAGTTTGATATGCAGCAGGTGGAGTGCACTTGTGGGAGATGATATTTTTCGCCGCCGTGCGCATTTTAGATGGCTTTCAACAGTTCATGATTGGGAGAAGGCCTCCCCTGAATTTAGCGAACAATATTATGTTATGTATGACATGTATGAGTGCTTAGGTTGCCAACGAGAATCCATAAACACAAGCAAGAATCCGACGTTTACTAGTTACAAGGCTCCGCTCTAGACTCGGACAATATGGCGGCAGACTCTCTCAAGTGTCGAGTGTTGTTGTTTCTTCCATTCTTGTGACGAACA